TTCCACGGGATAGAGCCCTGAGACTGAGTCAGAGAGCAGGCATTCCCCTTAACCAGGAGCTTGGAAAGTATTTGGGGATTCAGGCTATTCATGGACGGGTCACTAAAGGGCGATACCAGCATCTTCTCCTCAGAATCCAGAAGAAGCTTGCACCATGGAAGGCCAAGCTTTTGTCCTTTGCAGCCCGCCTCACTATAGTCAGATCGGTCTCTTCTGCCTTGCCTACTTATCATATGAATACTGAGTTAATCCCGAGTGCAGTCTGTAAAAGCATTGACAAGCTCAATCGAGACTTCATTTTGGGGGAAGACGAGAACCAATCCAAAATGCATTTGGTGGCCTAGGAAAAGATGATTCTCCCTAAAGATCAAGGTGGAGCCGGGCTTCGCTCTCTCCGACAAGCTAACTTATCAATGCTTGCTAAGAATGGATGGCGCCTCCTAAAAGACAAAGAGAATCTCTGGGCTCAGGTCATGCATTCCAAGTATGGACGGGATAAAGAACACTTGGAAATCCTCATACCGATTCAAGGAAGTTCCTTTACCTGGAATGGCTTCGCAAAAGCTAGCAACTTTCTTCGAAAAGGTTGTGCGTGGAATATTAAAAATGGGAGGCACACTAAATTTTGATTGGATGTTTGGCTGTTGCAGGTTCTGCTCAAGGATATCGCGGTGAGCCCAATTCCGGAGGAACTCGAGGGTGCGGTGGTCGTAGACTTCATTACCCCAGAGCGTCGATGGAAGACGGATCTCTTCGCCAACATCCTTCCTATCGATGTTCAGCAGAAGATAACCAGTGTGGCAGTGGTAATCTCTCAGTGGAAGAGGACGAAATCTTTTGGACAACCTATTCTGATGGAAGTTATACGACGAGATCGACATATAACCTTCTCAACTCACAGCAGCAGGATCCCGATGGACGATTTTGGAAGATCTTTTGGAAGCTTCCGTGCCCTTAGAGGATAAGAAGCTTTATATGGTTGGTGCTTTTGGGGAAGATCGCCACCAACTCTCAACGTTTTCACAGGAAGATTGCGCCTAACCCTTCAGCACCCGTTGTCAAGGGCAACCAGAGACCATTCTCCACATCCTTTGAGACTGCCCCCCTGCAGTCTTCTTCTGGAGTAGAAATGTGCCTCAGCAGAAACAAGGCATGTTCTTTAGTTGTGATCAATCCTCTTGGCTGCGACAGAATTTGGCAGATTCGGCTAATGACAGAGATGGAGTTCCTTGGGCTACTTTCTTTAGCATTGCAGTATGGCTCCTTTGGAAGAACATATCAACAGCTTCGTTCCATGGAAGTTGTGCAGCTCTCATGCCTCCTTCGCTTGCTCACTCCATAATGACTAAGGCAAAGATGTGGTACGAAGCTTGGAATGCAGCTGCAGCTCTACCGGGTACAAGAAACCACCCTCCGAACCGAGTTCTAGCCGAGGTGAGCTAGAAGGCTCCTCAGTTTGGATGGGTGGCTTTAAATATTGATGGTGCCTCCAATGGAAACCCGGGAGATGCAGGAGCTGGTGGTCTACTGCGAGACTCCTCTGGACATTGGTTGGGTGGTTTTGTGGCTAACATTGGGCACGCAACGGCTGCGCTAGCGGAGCTGTGGGCATTCTTTCATGGACTGGACATAGCTTGGAGGAGTGGGCATCGCGTCATTGTCGTTCAGTCTGATTCCGAGTTAGCTATTCAATTACTCAAGAATAGGCATGATCCACTTCACCCTCACTCCACGATTCTGGCAGCGATTCGCAGGAAGCTTAGTCAAGACTGGTTGGTTAGCATCACTCATACATATCGGGAAGGGAATAGATCCGCGGACTGGCTCCCGAAGCACAGTCTCGTCTATCCCTATGGTATGGATGAACTTGCACACCCACCATCTGGGCTAGCTTCGATTATTAGAGATGATATGATGGGTGTTAGCTTTAAACGTCGTATTGTTTCTCATTCTCCTTCCCTCAGTTAATCGGCCTGTAACTTCTTTTTCTTGGCCTTCGGCCTCCATTTAAGCAAACAAAAAAAAACACAAGAAAGCCGGTTTGATTATGTGGTGGATATGGGGTAAAATACTTCGGGTATCACTAAAATATCAGAATTGGAGGAGCTATACCACTTAACTAATAATAAGGCATCGCGTACCATTAAACTCTATTATATGTGCTCTCGGTAGTATTTAAGTTTACTCTTAAGTGCATTCCGTTAAAGTTGACAGAATATTCTTCGAATATTCCATTTTCTAAATTTCATAATTGGTCCTTCTACTTTTCTTATTGTAAAAAATCATTTGGTGTTATGAAAACATCATTTTTATATTGTTTAGTTGGAATCCTCTTTTGATAACTTTATACCAAACCAACTTTTGAATAGAAAATTTAGAATCAATTATCATTATAAGTATTTTCAATTATCGTTATGTTCCAATAATTGAATTATCATATGAATTCTCTTTAGTTGGAATCATCTTTTTGAAGACTCTGATATCATACCAATTTTTAATAGAAAATTTAGAATCAATTATCATTATAAGTATTTTTAATTATCATTAGTTGTTTTAATCATTGAAGAATTCACTAAAGCAAATATATCCTGTGAATTATATCTCGATATAAATAATCCGAAGATGTTATATTTAGTTCTCTTACATCTTGTTGATGTTGTGTAATTCTCAATGTCAAATCTACTTGTAATTCTCTGATATTATATTGTAGATGTACCATATTAGTTAAATTTACTAATTCTAATTCTATTCCTATAGTCATATTTTTTTCTATATTTTTTATTGAATGCTGTAGATTTTATAGTTTAATTATTACTTGATTACTTTCTGTCTCCTTTCGTGCTAAATCTTTTTAAACTACTGAAATATGTTTAATTATTTCTGATTGTGTTCCATTTATCCTTCTTTGGTATTGATGTATTGATGATCAATTAGTTTCTATTTTAACTATTTTTAAAGGTGCTTATAATTGAATTAGTAGTTTAAATAGATATTCCAATATTGATTTTAAATATTTATGATTATCTTCTAGTATATTTATTATTTTTACTAATTTATCTATTTTATTAAAAAAAATTGATTTGCCATTTTAGTAATACTATGTATAGAAGGTTTTCTAATTTTTATATTAGATAAAACTTGTTGAATTATAGTTTTGAATGTTTTAAAAGTTTTGGGTACCAAAAAGTAATTTAAAGTTAGTGTTGGATGGAAAACTAGACGGATGCACACTTTGACGACTTTAATAGTACCTGAGGTCCTATTCAAATTTAAGTGGTATGTCTATCCCAATTCTCAAACTTAAGTCGTGTCGGAATAGGAGAGCACTCATCTTGGGGTGAGATTACTACTTAGATGCTATCCAAAGAGAGTTTTAATGTACGTTCATCGCAAAATATTTCTAGATCCCATTACACTCAATGCCATATAGTCGCCCACAGGGACGGAGCCAGAAATTTAGGTGGGGGGGCAATTAAATTTTTAGAGGTGTCGTAATATAATGTAAAAGTGAACTCATAATTAGTAGGTTATAGTTCTTTAAAGTTATTGAAATAATTCAAAATACCATGTAAATTAAAATTTATTATGCTATTTTTTACAACATAAATTACTAATGGAGAAAGAAATTTTTTGCAAAAGAACTGCAAAATTTTGACATTATTAGGATAATAAGACACACAAAAATAACGTAATTTGCTATAAAAAAATTAGTCTTAGGAAAATAGCTGAAAAGGACTTCAATTGTAGCAAAAATTTGACAAAATTAAGACAAAAAAATGAATCAAAATAAGAAACTTGTACGACTTGGAAAATTTGGGGAGTGAAATTTAAAATTGAAATTTTAGGGTAAAAGAGGAGATGGGGGAAAATTTGAGGACGAGAAAAGATAAAATTTAAATTTTTTGGGGTTAAAATGAAATTATACTGAATATCAGCAAAAATAACGAAATTTGCTACAAAAAAAATTTAGCCTTAGGAAAATAGCTGAAAAGGACTTCAATTGTAGCAAAAATTTGACAAAAAATGAATCAAAATAAGAAACTTGTATGACTTGAAAATTTTGGGGAGTGAAAATTTTTAAATTGAAAATTTAGGATAAAAGAGGAGATGGGGAAATTTAAGGATGAGAAAAGATAAAATTGAAATTTTTTGGAGTTAAAATGAGAATTATATTTAATATCTTTACCAGCCTTCGAACCCTCAACCTAATGGTTAAAGGAGAGAATGCCAAGCCATTAGACTACATATCGCATTTTGTCTTCATCTTGCATAATCAGAATGTAGAATTTTGTGGGGGGGGGGGGGGCATAGCCCCTCCTACTAACAAGCTGGCTCCGTCCCTGGCCGCCCGCCCATAATTCATCTTTCTTAGTGGAATTCACTTCAACTATTCATGTCAACTAAGTAATACAATTTTTTGAGGAATTTTAGACCAAGTTTCAGATAAAATTTTATTTTCAACTAATCCAGTATGAAAAGTATTGTTGGCTATTCTCCTTAGTAGAGTCAAAATATGACTCTTATGGGTGGTTTACCCGAGGTATTTTACCGTGGTGGATATGAATAAATTTGTATGCTTTGGATTTCGAGGCTCAGACGCTTAGTGGACATTGGCTTACAATTTGAAACTTTCAACCGATATAGTTTATTTGTTTAATTACTCAGTTCCACTGGGATTGGGCTGATACAGACCCACAAGTAGTATTAGATGTCGTGTGAGAGTAGGCCTATATATCATTGAGGATTTTTTGGTCCAGAATGAGCCCATTTCAAGGGTTTTCTTTCAAGTTACTGCATATGCAATAGGCCCCCTTAAGAGTACTAACTAGTATTTTTTTTAAAAGAGATGTATGATAAAACTCACCTCTCACCACACTGTTTCTATTTAGCAACTACTCTAACCACCTTGGAGATCACACTTCCCACATTTTCCACTTACCAAATTATTTATTGTTTCCGCTTGGCATATAAATTGAGAACACTCTGCCCATTTTCTTACATCAAGCTTTACCCTTATCCACTTGATTTACCTCTTGGTTGTCCTACATACGAAAATAGGGAAAAATTAGCCTCCTACAAAATTATGTTACTTTGCAATGAAGCCTTAAAATCATATCTCTTCATAGCGCCATTTCACCTCTTTTGACTAGTTATATGCCAAGTCGCACAAAGTGACTTTGGTAATAAGAAAAGGTGGGAAGAATCGAGATCCGATCAGCTTCCGGTTGAAGTGTGAAGGCTTGAAGTGGTATGTCTCTTCGCATCACCCCTTCCACTTCTATGGAACCGCTGGCTTACCATGGTCATGGAAGCTCTTGCTTGATGGCCGTGTCGATTGACTCCTATGATGATCCCTTCGTCGTAGGAGGAATTCGGCCACAACCCCGAGTCATGGTGCAGCCCGATGAACTCCGGAGTGTGAGTAGTGAGGAGCTTCCCGAAGGTCTCCGGGTAAGTGACAACATGGGCCGACCACTTCTCTATCTCGGAGAGTTGGGCTTCTGTCAATCTACAGCTAAACCCATGCATAACATGAGTGTAGCTGTAGAGGAACAGCTCTTCGTCGGCTATAGGGTCGGCTAAGGATTGCAGAAGTGATAAGTGCCAGAATTCATGAGTGGGGAAAGGGGAGGGCTTTTGGAGTTCATTGTCCAGATTGACAATGTATGTGTTGGGGATGAGGCTCTGTGTGTGTTGTAGCACAACAGAGGATGGAGAGGAAGTTGAGAAGAAGATAGAGATTTATGGCAGCCATTGTTGAAGAAGAATTGCGATAGTCGATGGCAGGAGATTTTACAGAATCAAAGATGATGTTATGGTAGGCATATATGTCTATAAGTTTTCTTTTCTTTCCTCCATTCATTATACTTTTTTTTGCAATTGAGATTGTATAAGATTTGAGTTGAAAAAATCATGATGTCACTTTCTCAACTTTCTGGACATTTATGATTTTATCATTGTCCACCAATGATCTCATTATTCATGACTCAATCATATGATTTGCAATGTCCTAATAATTCGCATCGCTATAACTAGTTTGTAGTTGGCCAAGGTATATTGTAACTCATTAATGTGCCCAGAGTCTAAGTTGTTATATAAAATACACGTTATGTTATATATAACGTTATATAACATAATTTTATAACCATTTGTATTTAGAAAGTCTTCTAGCAATATCACATAGGCAATTGTTGTCTTTTTTTTTTTATTTTTCTTACTCACTAACTTTTCAATTGCAATGTGTTAAGGAAGATTAAAATAATGGATGAGACCCACATTAAACAATTGCTAAGGGGATGTTGATGACTAAAAAATTTTAAATGATGAATTGCTAAAATTCATGACGTAGTTGTAAGGACCACATTTAGAAATTTCTAACCAATTTTGGAGAAACTTGCCTCTGTTATAGCTCGAAACACGAGGTGATCGAGTCCTCTACGGGCATCCTAATATGGCCCTAGACACGAGGGACGAAGATAAAATGTTTTCAGGCTTTCTCCCTTGCCGATTGATGGCGACTAACAAAACACCTGTATAGATAGGGAAATTGGTATTGGGATGGTTGTCGGCAACAAGAGAAGAAGAGATCCGTCGGGGAAAAGACCTGAGAGAGAGTGGGGAGGAGGATTGGGTTGGTCGTCCTCGGCAAGATGAAAAGAGAAGAGATCACGAGAACAAGTGGGATGTGAATAACCTTTAACTGTCCATTAATCACTAACTTTTCATTAACAATCTAAATTCTTAACCACGACCACTAGGAAGACTTAAGCAACCCTTTAAATTTTTAGGCTTAAGCATTTTTATCATCCCATTGGGCTTCACAGCCCAGGTCCAACTGAAACATTGATTAGCCGAATTTTTCCAGCCCACAATGCACACTCCCCATTATTATCTGTACCCTCCAGCCCGCCAAATCATGTGGAATTGGTTTCAAGATTTCGCCAGTACTTGTGATATCCCATGGGTGCTTATGAGAGATTTGAACGATATCGCTAGGGGTGTTCAAACGGTTTGGTTACCGTGGTAACCGTTTTAACCGGTACTATTTGGATAATTTGGTTTGGTTAATTTGGATAATTGGTTTGGTTTGGTTAAAGTTTTTAGTTTTTTTGGTTTAGGTGGTTTGGTTTGGTTTCAGACACTCCTAACCAGTCAAACCAAATTAACCAGTTAAGTAATTAGTCATATATCTAACATATATTATATACACATACTTAATACTTTGCATAACCACTCAAGAGTTAACGTTCATCCCTTTTAGACTCATAAAATATAAAGCTCAATATTGCTCATATAGTGTATATTTGTATATGTAAAGTGTAGACCACAACATATGGACGCCTAATTTAGATAAATTTCATACATTATGATGGATGAAAACTTGAAAGGAATGTCATTTCCAGCCTATGATAATTGCTAAGAGACTAAGTCAATTTACACAAACACAACAATTCATTAACCCATACCATTGTCATAAATTTTTGTTAGGTGAATACTTCTATACTAATCGTAAGATAATTGTCTTAGTTGCATGTATTTTTGTTAAGGGTCAACTATAAGTACGTGTTGATTGTTATGTTTTATTCATTACATAAATTGCGAATTGTTGCATTAACCGGAAAATTTCATCGTCAATGATAATGTGATTTTATATTAGTTAATCTGGTTAACCAATTAACCAAACCGATTAAACTTTAGTTTGGTTAATTTGGTTGTTGTATTAGTTTGGACGGTTTGGTTATGATATTGTATTCCTTGGTTAATGAAATTTAGCCTTATTTGGTTTGGTTATAATCATGATAACCATTTGAACACCCCTAGATATCGCAATACCCTCTGAAAAGAAAGGCGGTAGACCTGCTTCACTAAGTCGTTGCATAGCTTTTCAAAATAATTTGAATTTGTTTGGATTCGTTGATTTGGGTTTTCAGGGACCGCGATTCACTTGGTCGAGAAGGGATAGCAGATTTAGGGTGATTCAGGGATGGCTGGACAGGGTTGTTTTCAAACGTTGAAGGAAGATTATTGTTTCCAGAGGCATTAGTTCTTCACATTCCAAGAGTTGGCTCCGATCACTCCCCGTTGTGTCTTCGAACGACGGGATTGGCTCGACTTCCATACAATAGACCCTTTCGTTTTGAAGCAATGTGGTTTGAATGCCCTAATTACTCTAAATTAGTCAATTCAGTGGTGGAAGAAAGGATCCTCAGATTTTATCTATGCTAGAAACCGCTAAAGAAGAGTCACTCAATTGGAACCGTACAAGATTGGGAAACATATTCTCTAATAAGAATCGGCTTCATGCTCCTCAGAAAGGGATCGAGAGTGAGTGAGTTCATTTGGCTCTGTTGGTTGTTACAGGAACTCGGCGCTTCCCAACGGGGTGCCACACCTCTCCACTGCGACAATCAGGCTGCTCTTCACATAGCAGCGAATCCAGTCTTTCACGAGCGCACTAAACATGTGGAAATGGACTGTTATTTGTTCGAGAGCGGGTTCAGTCTGGCGACATTGCTTCGTGCAAAATCAGTTCTCATATGCAGCTGGCGGATATGTTCACTAAAGGTCTCGCCGCTGATCGTTTTCATTTTCTCCTGTCCAAGCTGCGCGTTCGCAACCTTCACGCTGCAGCTTGGAGATCGTCATAGGAGTGGAAATCATTGTCCCGGAGCAGATTTTCCTCATCGTTATGAGTATGACTAATCCGATTACTGTTTTATCTTCTCTCTCTATGGAGTAGAACCCTTCTCTCACTTGGGTATGAAGAACCCTAGTTCCTTGTGTTAGGGATTTGACTTTAATGACTTGGGATGATATTAATGTTTGATTTTAATCGAATGATGCATGTTTATTGAATTGATTGGAGTCTGATCAGCTTTTCTCAATTTCCGTTACAACCTGAGATAGATAGAATCTGATTAGGTTGTTAGAGCCTCTTCATTCGATAGTAGGAGATTGGCTATACGAGAGTTAGCCAGTTTACTGCTTTGTACTGGAATTCAATTCCAGTAGTGGAGTTCTGTGTTCATAGCCTCAGCTTTCTATCCCGGTGAAGACTAGTCGTCTGCCGGGTAGTTAGACTGAGAGGGCTTGGTCAGCTTAAGAGATTCCAAGCTACTGTCGGATCTTCCGCAGTCTAATCAACAGTAAATCAACCCAGGGAATTACAATTGAACCTAACTAAGGGGCTAGGGGGACTCAATCCCGAGTGACTCTTTCCTGACTTTGAAAACCGAACAATTTCCTTGCTTTCTTGCTGCTTTTGCTTTTCACAACAATCACTCGAACTAGTTTGCTAGATAATAGAGAATCACGGAGTAAGCAGTAGATCTAGACCCCGGGTTGATAATTGAACTTGCCTGTTACTGCATTCCCGGACTGCGATTACACTTGGTCGCAGTTTGGTGTTGTGTTTTGGCGTGTCACCGACTTCAACCGAAATCATCCATCTCTTTCAAGCCCCCAGATTGTTTTGTCCTCTCCTAGCTCAAGGTTAGGTGGCTCTTTTCCTGCAATCAAGGCCAAAGCATCATCAGGAAGGACTCTTTTCATTCAATCCCAGTCCCACTTACCTTCTTCTGTGGTCTAATCCGCCACTGATGATTCTCTATCTCTGTCAGAAAGGTCAGAAGTCAGATAGTTATCCAGGATGACACCACATTTCAGCCACGGATGAGACCAGAAACTGGTTGTTTCCCCGTTTCTGATGCTCCAGCAACAACCACTCTTCATCAAAGGCATTGTCTTGATAATGCCTCTCCGTAGGCTTGAGTGATTATTCTTTTTCATTCCCACAATGGCCCCATCTTTGTGCTTGAAGTATTTACCCTGAAGAACTTTAACCCAAAGCATATCACTATGGTTTAAAATTTGCCACGCAAGCTTGAACATAAAGGCTCTATTCATACATCTAGCAGACCTCAGACCCAAATCCCCCTGAATTTTAGGTTTACATATTATTTCCCAAGAGATCAGGTGGGATTTCCTGCCTCCAACATGGGATCCCCAAATGAAGCCTCAGATCTTTCTATCAATTGCATCACAAACAGTGGCAGGTAAGACAAATGATTGCATAGCATAACTAGGGAGCGCATTCAACACAGATGTGGCAAGGGTGACCCTCCCAGCAAGTGAGAGGGTTCTGGCTTTCCACATGGTCAGTTTATTATCCATTTTCTCAAGGATGAACCTGTAGATATTGTTGTTCAGTCTACCATGCAAGACAAGAACCCCTAAGTATCTACCTAGGTCATTAGTGGACTGAATCCCAAGTTTAGTATAGACCTCAGTCCTGGGTTTTTTCTGGACGTTTTTAGAGAATAAAACTCTGGATTTGTCTTTACTAATCATTTCTCCAGAGGCTTAACAGAATTTGTTCAGGCAAGACATGACCACATCAGCCTGCTTCGGGCTAGCCTCAGCAAAAAGCACAAGGTCGTCCGTGAAGAACAGGTGAGACAGGTCACGTCCATTAGGAGAAAGCCTCACAGGTTTCCATTCTTTAATCCTAACCTCTTCTACAATAGTATGACACATTCTTTCCATACATAAAGTACAGTGATAGGGAGAAAGTGGACATCCTTGACGCAATCCTCTTGATGGAGTAAAGCATTAAGTCTCCCCTCCATTCCATAGAACTTGGAACCTTGTCGTAGTCACACATGCCATGATAATTCTGATGCATT